CACCACTATCTCAGCATAGACTACCCATGTCACATCACCGCTATCCAAGCATAGACTACCCATGTCACATCACCACTATCCCAGCATAGACTACCCATGTCACATCACCACTATCCCATCATAGACTACCCATGTCACATCACCACTATCCTAGCTTAGACTACAGGTGTCACATCACAACTATCTCAGCATAGACCACCAATGTCACATCGCCACTATCCCAGCATAGACTACCCATGTCACACCACCACTATCTCAGTATAGACCACCCATGTCACATCACCACTTTCCCAGCATAGACTACCCATGTCAAATCACCACTATCCCATCATAGACTACCCATGTTACATCACCACTATCCCATCATAGACTACCCATGTCACACCACCACTATCCCAGCATACCCATGTCACACTACCAGGATCCCATCATAGACTACCCATGTCACATCACCACTATCCCAGCATACACTACCGGTGTCACATCACCACTATCCCAGCATAGACTACCCATGTCACATCACCACTATCTCAGCATAGACTACCCATGTCACATCACCGCTATCCAAGCATAGACTACCCATGTCACATCACCACTATCCCAGCATAGACTACCAATGTCACATCACCACTATCCCAGCAAAGACTACCCATGTCACATCACCACTATCCCATCATAGACTACCCATGTCACACCACCACTATCCCAGCGTAGACTACCGTTGTCACATCACAACTATCCCATCAAAGACTACCAATGTCACATCACAACTATCCTAGCTTAGACTACAGGTGTCACATCACCACTATCTCAGCATAGACCACCCATGTCATATCGCCACTATCCCATCATAGACTACCCATGTCACATCACCACTATCCCATCATAGACTACCCATGTCACATCACCACTATCCTAGCTTAGACTACAGGTGTCACATCACCACTATCTCAGCATAGACCACCCATGTCACATCACCACTATCCCATCATAGACTACCCATGTCACATCACCACTTTCCCAGCATAGACTACCCATGTCACATCACCACTATCCCATCATAGACTACCCATGTTACATCACCGCTATCCCAGCATAGGCTACCGGTGTCACATCACCACTATCCCAGCATAGACTACCCATGTCACATCATCGCTATCCCAGCATAGACTACCGGTGTCACATCACAACTATCCCATCAAAGACTACCAATGTCACATCACAACTATCCTAGCTTAGACTACAGGTGTCACATCACCACTATCTCAGCATAGACCACCCATGTCATATCGCCACTATCCCATCATAGACTACCCATGTCACATCACCACTATCCCATCATAGACTACCCATGTCACATCACCACTATCCTAGCTTAGACTACAGGTGTCACATCACCACTATCCCAGCATAGACCACCCATGTCACATCACCACTATCCCATCATAGACTACCCATGTCACATCACCACTTTCCCAGCATAGACTACCCATGTCACATCACCACTATCCCATCATAGACTACCCATGTTACATCACCGCTATCCCAGCATAGGCTACCGGTGTCACATCACCACTATCCCAGCATAGACTACCCATGTCACATCATCGCTATCCCAGCATAGACTACCGGTGTCACATCACCACTATCTCAGCATAGACTACCCATGTCACATCACCGCTATCCAAGCATAGACTACCCATGTCACATCACCACTATCCCAGCATAGACTACCCATGTCACATCACCACTATCCCATCATAGACTACCCATGTCACATCACCACTATCCTAGCTTAGACTACAGGTGTCACATCACCACTATCTCAGCATAGACCACCAATGTCACATCGCCACTATCCCAGCATAGACTACCCATGTCACACCACCACTATCTCAGTATAGACCACCCATGTCACATCACCACTTTCCCAGCATAGACTACCCATGTCACACCACCACTATCCCATCATAGACTACCCATGTTACATCACCACTATCCCATCATAGACTACCCATGTCACACCACCACTATCCCAGCATACCCATGTCACACTACCAGGATCCCATCATAGACTACCCATGTCACATCACCACTATCCCAGCATACACTACCGGTGTCACATCACCACTATCCCAGCATAGACTACCCATGTCACATCACCACTATCTCAGCATAGACTAACCATGTCACATCACCGCTATCCAAGCATAGACTACCCATGTCACATCACCACTATCCCAGCATAGACTACCCATGTCACACCACAACTATCCCAGCATAGACTACCAATGTCACATCACCACTATCCCAGCAAAGACTACCCATGTCACATCACCACTATCCCATCATAGACTACCCATGTCACACCACCACTATCCCAGCGTAGACTACCGTTGTCACACCACCACTATCCCATCATAGACTACCCATGTCACATCACCGCTATCCCAGCATAGACTACCGGTGTCACATCACCACTATCTCAGCATAGACCACCCATATCACATCGCCACTATCCCAGCATAGACTACCGGTGCCACATCACCACTATCCCATCAAAGACTAACCATTTCAGTCATATCACCAGGAATAAGCCTTTCTATGGAAAACAGTGTAAAGTAGAGAACGCGATAATATAAATGAGTCGGCTATTATTGAGGTAAATAATGAAAACGGGTAGTCATTCTTTGTGATAACCGTTCTTGTATCTTTTCACATGTTTTTTGTGTATATTAATGTCTTACTTCTGTCCAGAAGAAGGCAGTATAATAATGGTACAACACCTACTATATATGACTAAAGCGAAGTTATCACAATGTCAATTAACCTCTTACAGACTTAGACAATTACTTCATGTTAAGTAATGGTATATAGTAATGCTACTAATTAAGTGAGTGAGTTGGGATTTCACGCCGCTTTTAAAAGTATTCCCGTTATATGACAGCGTGTCAGCTTAATGTGAGAAGAAAGTCGTTACTTTTTGCCATTTCCTCAAATGCCTGACATAAGAATCTCAAAACAAATATCTTGTGCTGTACCTTCAACATTTATACGTTGATGTTTATAAAACAATGTATACTAAAGAAAACTACCGGTATATGTTTCTAAACATATTTATATATATACATGAACATTAAATATGCTCCACCTGTTTCAATCCAATTCCCCAAAATAATGAAAAAATGGAACCCTAACTTGTCAGCGTGTTGTATAAATGTACTGCCGCCAAGTGAGAGCTAGTGGCTCTCCAGTTCAAACCCTGAATAAACTGACCCAGGCAGTGCACCAGAAATAGCAGAGGATCCCAATGTTGAGTAAGGATAAGATATATGGATGAACAATTTCTTTATTACAAATAGGAGCGACGTTTTGGTGTAGGTTCTAACACCGTTGTCAAGCATGTTGTGGAGCTGCTTGTAGGTGGAGTGATCCTGGAGGATGGTGTCGGGTAAGACATTGAAGTCGGTGATATCCATGACAGTTACATTGCCTTTGTCTGCTGGGGCGATGATGATAGTGTTGTCAGATTTTAGGTTATGCAGAATTTTCCTTTCGTGATGAGTGAGGTTGGGTTTAATCACTTGTTTGATAACGGTGTTATAATCTACACCTACCCCTACACCTACACGTCGCTCCTAATTGTAATAAAGAAATTGTTCATCAACATATCCTATCCTTACTTAGTACTCCAACTTCTAAATACCCCTCAAAGAAGTGATCCCAATGTTGAACATCAGACGCCTGAATCAGCGCGAGTGTCATCCGTGAGAGGGGTGTATACTCCAGAGTGAGTGAGTTGGGTTTAACGCCGCTTTTAACACTATTCCACTTATATCGCGGCGTGTCAGCTTAATGTGAAAGGAACGCCCCAAGTGATGCAGGTCTCAGATGTTTACCACTTCGGTGAAACTCATGAGCACGGGTATGGTGCTGAAAAACCTAGAAAAATAATCGGGGCAAACCGGAATTCGAACCCACAATCGCAATAAACATTGTTAGATTCTTCGCATAATCCCAATACATCGGTGACTATTGTTTGTGTCAGGTTTATCTGATGGTAGTGCCAGGCAGTTTGTCAGTTTACTACTCGTTTGTCGTGTTTCCCAAAAAATGATTCACACCATTCATTTGTTAATGTAGCACACATCCGAAAAAGTGGGTGCTGCTTAACGAATGCCCCTTCATATTTACACATAACGCATGTACGAGGCAGCCACTCCATGTCTGTTCATCTGTGATGTTGTCTAGCAACCAGCCAAAACAGCTACCAAACAAATGTTTTAGGTTTGCATGTTTCGACTTAGTTATATGCACTCTTGTCATAATTTATCGGGGTTATTAATCACTAACCTTGGAGAACAACTGTCACCTTTATAGTTCTCAGCGTTTCTAAATAAAACTGAAACGAATGTCTTTTTTATGCAGGTGATACTGTCCTACTATTGGTAGAGGCATTGTTAAGTCAGTTTAACGTAGAAAGAAGATGTACTGAATGCTCTCGATCAACTTACTCCAGACTGCTAAAATATAAAGATACATATATAAACTATTTTACTAGCCGCCTTATTGTTCTTACCGGTTGGTCCAGTGTACGCTCTTTCAAGAAATTATATAGGTTTGTGAATCGAAAGAATAAACTGTTATTATTTGTACACAATTCTCTCAATGATTGAAACTAATCTCTGTCATCTTCACCATGTTTTGTTTGTTTGTTTGTTTGTTTTTGTGTTTGTGTTAGCTGATGTAAGACCACCAAGCGGTGGTTGGAACATATACGACTGAATTGCACTGGTGTATCAACTTGGTATCTAACTAGCACCAGAGAGTAGGTTTGTCCAGTCGATGGTGCGCCAGCCACTCATCAGGGAGGATCCGGGACATTCCGTCTGCAGCCTCGTCACATGCGCCAATCAGAAAGATAAAAGTTTCGACAAATATTGATACGTAAAAACGATTGGTAGATTAAATTGTTTTCATTTGTCTACATATACCACCCGTGTCTTATGTGCTCGGACCTTTCTCGCACAACCCAGGCAATATTCACATCCAGGTAAGTCACGCGTCATGTTTTATTGCCGATGCAGTCCACATTGCTTAAATATGAATCTAAGCTTTGATGATAGTTGGTGATACAATATAAAAAACCCCATAAAGTATCAAAATAGAATATCATTGAAGAGTTCATTGGATGTAATAAGTGAGTAGAAATGCTACTTGACATGATAACAGATTGCTTGTGATATTACAATCCTCATTGGCCTTTCGGGACGGTTATGGCCAGTGCTATCTGTATACTGTTATGTCAGTATTGAAGCAAGTATACAGACATATGAATATTTCATTAATGAGATTTTAAGCGATTCCCACCAAACTGTTGCGCCATCGTATTCTATTATCAACACTCTAAGCTTCCGTTTATTGATATTCATTCGACGGACTCTGCCTACAACAAGCAAACAAACTTGTTCATGAGAATCTAAGCAGTATTCCTAGAACGTCAAAACGGGAACGCTTTATTGATCCCATATCAGCACGATTGTATAGATACGTTACTTGATAAATAGACTCTGCACTTAGAGAGTCTACAGTTGCTTCCTATAATATTGTTCTGTCACTTTCCAGCAGGACACAATACAGAAGGATGTGTTTGACATCATCAAATACCGTTATGTCACACTGACAGACGCCTGAGTATATCTGACGACATGATAGGTTTGCTCACAGAACATATTGGTAAAATGTTGATGGCCTCTCTTCTGCTACTCCCCATAGCCGATAGAGAATATTGGTCTGATACTTACACAATATTGTCCCTAGCAAGCTAAGCGGGAAATCATATTGTAATATGAGAATTTCAGAAGTCTTCCAGGCTCTTCCAAGGATTCCAAGATCATGTAATTTAAAACAAAATATGGCCAGCCAGACTAGCTCGGTCAAACTCTCGTTGTCAAGGAAGGAACAATACACATTTGAATCTTTTTCGAGGAAATATTGAATTATTTCATGGACACAAAAACATGATATTGTTGCACCACATTTTTGAATTGCCAGGGGATTCCCACACAAAACACTTTTCGGATGTATTCAGTTCCAGTGCTGAACAATCTGGCTAATGTACATAAACAGATCTCCCCCTGCTATAAGTGTTTAGTAGGTTGCCTTTCCCGGGCATTTGTCTGACTGTAACACTGCACTTCAGATTCTATCTAATAGCATTTTGTAAACGGAGGCCTTGAGATATCATCATCGTCTGTCACTGATTGCTGCACCATATCTCTTTAGTTGTGGCTGATCAAATTGTATGCGCTGTCGCATAGTGTCCGTTGTGTAGGTTTAGATTATCACTCCTGACGATACATCTCTTGTATCGTTATGTTGCATGAAAATATTCTTGTATACGAGGGCTCGTCAAAAAGTTCTAAGTTGACTTACTTTCAACTATGACCCATAACAAAGTGAACTAGTCAATGTTGTACATTGGTTGAGTAGTTCATTGCAAGTGTATTTGGTCTGGTGAGGCCGTTTGTATATTAGTGACAGCCAGTGAACGTGATGGGGGTCTAAATAGACACAGAAATGGAAAAGAACGAGTACCGAGAAGTCACCAAGTTTTTTACTTTAGAGAAAAGTACTCCCCAAGAATTTCATGACCGCATGTGATAGGAGTATGGGTATAAGTGCCCTAGCTATTCCACTGTTTAACGTTGGGCAGCTATGTTTGAGGCTGGGAGATGAAGCCTCGATGATGTCCCTCAACTTCCATCAATGAAGATAGAAAGGAGATTGAAAAACTTAGTGTCAGAAAGACGTATTACCATTGCTGAACTTGGGGAAGACACATGTCTAAGCCATGGATCCATTAAAACTATTATTCATGAACATTTACAGATGAATAAGATATCTGCTCGTTGGGTGCCACAATTTCTAAATTCTGATCTTAAGGACAAAACAACCGACACTGTCAGAGAAATTTTAGAGCTAATTGAGGAGGATTTCGTCAAATTCAAGAAGAGATTAGTAACGGGTGATGAAGCATTGGTCTACCACTATGATCACAGGTGAATCCATAGAATGGCACAATTCCATTTCTACGGCAACAAAGAAATTCAAGTTCTTCAAGATCTGTGAAGAAAGTTATAGCCACTGCTGTATTCTGGGATGCAAAAGGTGTGGTCCTTGTTGATTATGTAGAAAGTCAAAAGACGACCGCCGACTTGCAAAGGCTGCTGTGCGACAATGTGGGTTCCTTAACCCCCCATACTACAGTGGGGGTGTTACAGTTTTAATCAAAGATACTTGGTTAACAAACGGATAAATAACACGGATATATGAAGAATTTATGGAATTTATGTTCGATACCAGCAGGTTGTCATTGCTGAAGAATATTGTTTGATATTGACGTATATTTCACCTGAAAGGTCTCCTATTTATGATGATGCAGAAAAAAAGATTGCATGTCAACTGTAGAAGATTACCTAACTGTTATATCTGGTGACCATCCAGAGAGAAAGATACCTTCCTTGCTGGAGATTTGAATGCAAGGACAGGAACCTTTTTTATTCCAGAAGACAATATTGATTTTATACAAAAAGACATTCTTGATTACTCTGCTGACAGTTTTGATTTACCACGAGAAAACAAAGACTCTACTACTAATGTAACAAATGTTATATTTGAGTCCCGTCCGGGATTCAAACCAAGACTGCCAGCGTGAGGCACCTAATCGCCAGCACACAAAGCCAGCGATCTAACTCACTCAGCCACCGAGGCTTCCACAAAAGTACGACAACTGGTAGTCTAGATCACGTACTTTGTGTACCCACCTGACAAGTGTATTTTGGCAAGTGGCATTGTGTAATCACGACTCTACTACTTGGAACAATTTTGGAAGAAAACTTGTAGCATTATGTAAACTATATGGAATCCATATTCTGAATGACAGATCTCATCAAGATAAGCAAGGTTATTTCACTTGTGTAACACATAATGGAGCAAGTGTAGTGCATTATATGATAACTTCCTCTTCTCTTTATCCATTAATATGTGAGTTTGGCGTGGGCACTAGAGTGAGTCACACCATTTCTCGCTTTACTGTACTTAAAACTTTCATGTAAATAAGCCTGATCGTGCAACCGTCAACCACGATGTTAATGACAACATGTTTGAACTATCTCGTGGTTTGTCTGATGGCAAGGAGATAGTTGAAGATAACTTTTACTGTTGGATTAAGTATATATGGAATAAAGATGACAATCATATCTTTGAAAATAAATTCATAAGAGGTTTTGAACTCTATAAAGATGAATTAACACAACTGATCAGTGTTGATGTGAATTCAGCAGTATCTGTTTCATACTAACCTTTTTCAAGAAGCAGGAGATGTTAACAAGAAACCTTATCAGGCCTTTTCTGACATTAAACCTTACAGTCAGCCTGCTTGGTGGGATGGGGAGCTAGACAGTATAAGGAATTCTAAAAACAGGGCTTTAAGGGGACATAGAGACTATGATCTAGACATTCAAATTAATTAGACAGCTACGCTCAAACTTCAAAAGAACCTTTGCAATAAAGCGACAGTTATATTACAATCAACAAAGACAAGACTTACTTAATGCAAGGGGAAACCCCCTTATTATTCTCGAAACTTTTAAAACAGGGAAAACCGGTTGATATGCCTGCTGGAATCAGCACACAAGAATGGATAGAGAACTTTTTTTTATCTCGTCTACATGTTGATGATATACAGCCTTTATCTGATTTGAACCTCTGTGGTTGTGATGTGACTGTCAATATTACTCAGGATCTCCTTACCTCCAACATCAGTTGTCAGGAAGCTGAGAAACACATAGCAAGGCTTGCAAACAACAAGTCTCCTGGACCTGATGGCGTTGCTTCTGAGTTCTTTAAAAACACAAAACATCTCATTTCCCCTATTATTACTTTACGTTTAATCAAATATTTGAAAGCGGCGTGTTTCCCCAGCTGTTGGGCAAGAGCAATATTTGTCCACTATTAAAATGTGGTGACAAGAATGAGGTCAACAATTACAGACACATTTTACTGATCGATACCATGTGTAAAGTTTTCACATCTCTATTAAAGTCCAGACTTTAATAGTACTGCGAAGAAACTAATGATACAGAAATATGCATGGAAAAAAAAGGGGAAACTTTACTGCCTCTTTGCTTACTTTTCGAAGGCTTTTGACACTGTGAGACAAGATATTTTGCTGACAAGTATCAAGGGTATTGGAAAATGTGGTAAATTTGATAACACACTTACATCAATGTACTCAAACCTATGTGCTTGTGTGAGGAGTTCAGATGGACTGACAAGCTATTTTAATTGTAATATTGGCACCCCCGTAAGGGATGCATTATGAGCCCGCAAATATGTATTATATTCACAAACGAGCTTGTACAACTACTGGAGGATATTGGAGGTAAAGGAGTTTTTATTTCAAAGGATTGTAAAGATATGTATGCCATAATGTTTGCTGGTGATATTTCTTCTGTGGCAGATCGCCTCTTACAACTACAAAAGAAAATAACTGCTTTAGAAATGTTTTGTCCCAGAACTGGCACGAAAGTTAATCTGAAAAAGACTAAAGATATTGTATTTAGAAATTGAGGACATTTGAGAAGTTATGAAAAGTGGACATACTGTGGTGAAAATATTGAAGCTGTTACATTTTACAGATATCTGTGGTTAATGTTTACACCTAAATTGATTTGGTCACAAACTCAAACCTGCTTAGCTGCCCAGAGTACTAAAGCTCTGGTGGCCATAAACAGATATCACAGGAAAGTTTGTGATATGCCATGCAAGGATTTAAACAAGATTTTTTATACTATGATAACCCCTATCCTGTGTTATGGGGCTGACATTTGGGAAACCACTTACTGCAAAATAATTGAAGATGTTCAAGTGAAAATGTGCAAATCTTTTCTGAAAGTTTCCCCAAACACTTGTAATATGAAGACCCTTGGTGAATGTGGTAGAGCATCCCTGCAATATACATATATGACAAGAGCTGTAAAGCACTGGTTTGGATTTGGGTTTGCATGGATATCCCAGGATGTAGGCAATAAAGATATGTTTATGTTTATGTGTGCGTGTGTGCTTGTACTAGTCCGGACTGATGCCGATTTACAGTGCGAGCCCATTGAGATAACATGCTGCAGTTGAACATAAATACCCCACTGAGACACAGTATACGTACGCCGAGCCGACCAGCGTCAGACAATGTAACAACAAGTACCATCTTTTATTTCATTTTGTGTACATTATGTAGCTTGATAGTCTAGCTAATAGTAATTGATATATTCTCATTAAATCAATGATATGTATGCCAGCGTAAGCGCAAGTCTGAAGCTTCTTCTACAAAAACAAACTGAAATAACCGTTTGGCCACAGGCCGTGGAGTGGAGTCCGCCTTTAAGTGGTTCTCCAGGAAAGACATCAGATGAAGGCGACTTGCATCCACACGACAACGTCAATGGGCTGTAACACAAGCACGAGGACAACTCATTTTGAACTTACAGTTTTTCATACGCTTAAACTGAAAACTTCAAAGATTTAATTATCTTGGCCTCATTGCTGATACTAATTATACACATAAATGCTCGATATCAACTTGCTGATCGCGGAAATATGTGATTGTTTATTCCGAAACAAGCATTGACAGTTCTGATACAACTGCAAATTAACTATCAACCATGTTCATATAGATTGTAGAAAGTCTCACTCTGTTGCAGCTTCTACTACTGTGGACATGAGCGGCCTTCTGTTTGACAACATGACCACCACCCTGAATGGTAACGTGACGGGGAACATCTCTCTAGAGGTCACTACGTACAGGGTGGAGGATGCACTCTACCTGTCAGAGGACGATCGACTGAAAGCATTCTTAGAATTTCAGGTGAGCTGGTACCTGGATGTGGTGTACGCCCCAATCTGCTCCATTCTCGGCATCGTCGGCAACACCTTGTCCTTCATCGTCCTGTTAAGCTCCAACATGCGTAACACCACTTCCTACCTGTACATGGCCGCGCTGTCCTGCACCGATACCATCGTCCTCATCCTCAACATCCTCTTCATGGTCACCAAGTTTCCTGATCAGGAGATTTTCAATCGCGGAACCTGCGGGCTCATCTTCTTTCTCATGTATTTCTCCATTCACTACAACGTGTTCCTCATGTGCACCATGACGATCGAGCGCTACATCGCCGTCAAATTCCCCCTCCATGCACCCAAATGGATCACAATCAGTAAGGCACGGATCCTAATACTGGTAGAGTTCATTGTCGCTTTTTCTCTAGATGTTCACAGCTTCTTCACACGCCAGATAGTAGTCGACCCCAACACAGGTGTAGAGAAATGCACAACACCTGGCGAGACCAATACGTTCTTCGTAACTAAGATATGGCCATGGGTGGACGCCGTGGTCTACTGCTACGGGCCGCTAACGTGTCTGTTGGTTGTGAACGTACTGATCATCACGGAGGTGAAGCGAGCTGGGCGTATGCAGAGGGAGATGACCAATAAAGGTGCTGGGGAAAAGACCGCAGCCGACGCACGGAGCAGGGAGCGCCAAGTGACCGTCATGCTTCTCTCCGTGTCCTTCACCTTCCTTATCTTCGTCACCCCCATGGCCGTCATTATCGTTGTTGAGCGATACTTCTGGGTTCAGCACAATGCCCACGAGCAGGCCCAATACCACCTGGTCCGTACAATCTGTAACAACATGATGTACACCAACCATGCCTTGAATTTCGTTCTCTACTGTGTTGGAGGCAAGAGATTCCGGGATCAGTTCTTCGCCATATTCTGCTGCGTTGACAAACAGAAGCAGGCCGCCATGGCGCGCTCAATGATGTCCATGGACACGTCCACTACCAACTCAAGGGTCAGCGTTGTCTCAAATGGAAACGTCAGTGTACAAACAAAATGAAAGTAATTTTAACGGAAGGATTTCCTGATCCAGAGTTTACGGACGAAATCCACTATTTCTAATCTGTGAATCTTTCTATTGATGGAGGTGAAAACAAAAGATAACACTGAATCACAGAATGTACGATAGTCCGCCAAACAAATGTACGAAACTTCGTGTAACATGGTGCACGACGGTCAGCTGTACAACATCCAGGCTTTGATAAGGTTTAAGGTCTTTATGATCAGTGTTATAGGATATTTCCTAGTAACAACTTCAATATTGTATCTCTTTAACTCACAAATGATGCCTAATATTGATATTACGCGTTTATTCATTTGTAATTAATTCCATAGAAATATAGTGTTTTATGTTGTATCCAATTGTATTTAATCTACTGCAAGTAAATTCGTTTTATGACTCTTATTACATCAATAGAACTGATAGGTCGTTTGTGGTGTATAAAACATGTGTTGAACCTAAACATCAATGACAACAGTGTACTTATTTTCGATATCATTGTTACGTTACGTGTACGTAAACTCGTTATATTAAAAAGATCTTTGTTTTGAGAGAGTGTTTTTTGTATATCATCAAATATGCGATGTCTCTGGTACATCATCATTGATGCATTATATCCGGTTCATCATCAGACAAACACTATCTGCAGAAAATCATCATACAAACACTGTTTCTGCTATATCATCAGACAAACATTGACTATAGTACATCATCAGTCAAACACTGTCTCAGGTATGTCATCAGACAACCACTGTCTAAGGTACATCACCAGACAAACACTGTCTCAGGTATGTCACCGGACAAACACTGTCTCAGGTATGTCATCAGACAAACACTATCTCAGGTATGTCACTAGACAAACACTGTCTAAGGTACATCACCAGACAAACACTGTCTCAGGTATGTCATCAGACAAACACTGTCTCGGGTATGCAAACTGACAAACACTGTCTCAGGTATGTCATCAGACAAACACTGTCTCAGGTATGCCACCTGACAAACACTGTCTCAGGTATGTCATAACACAAACACTGTCTCAGGTATGTCATCAGACAAACACTTTCTAAGGAACATCACCAGACAAACACTGTCTCAGGTATGTCATTAGACAAACACTGTCTCAGGTATGCCACCTGACAAACACTGTCTCAGGTATGTCATCAGACAAACCCTATCTCAGGTATGTCACCAGACAAAAACTGTCTCAGGTATGCCACCAGACAAACACTGTCTCAGGTATGTCACCAGACAAACACTGTCTGAGGTATGTCACCAGACAAACACTGTCTCAGGTATGCCACCTGACAAACACTGTCTCAGGTATGTCATCAGACAAACCCTATCTCAGGTATGTCACCAGACAAAAACTGTCTCAGGTATGCCACCAGACAAACACTGTCTCAGGTATGTCACCAGACAAACACTGTCTCAGGTATGTCACCAGACAAACACTGTCTAAGGTATGTCACCAGACAAACACTGTCTGAGGTATGTCACCAGACGAACAATGTCTCAGGTATGCCACCTGACAAACACTGTCTCAGGTATGTCACCAGGCAAACACTTTCTCAGGTATGTCACAAGACAAACACTGTCTCAGGTATGTCACCAGACAAACACTGTCTCAGGTATGTCACCAGACAAACACTGTCTGAGGTATGTCACCAGACGAACAATGTCTCAGGTATGCCACCTGACAAACACTGTCTCAGGTAAGTGATCAGACAAACACTGTCTCAGGTATGTCACCAGACAAACACTGTATCAGGTATGTCACCAGAAAAACACTGTCTCAGGTATGCCACCTGACAAACACTGTCTCAGGTATGTCATCAGACAAACACTGTCTGGGGTATGTCATCAGACAAACACTGTCTTGGGTATGTCACCAGACAAACACTGTCTGGGGTATGTCTTCAGACAAACACTGCCCCAGGTATGTCACCTGACATACACTGTCTCATGTATGTCACCAGCCAAACACTTTATCAGGTATGTCATCAGACAAACACTGTCTCAGGTATGTCACCCGACAAACACTGTCTCAGACATATCACCAGACAAACACTGTCTCAGGTACATCATCAGACAAACACTGTCTCAGGTATGTCTTCAGACAAACACTGCCCCAGGTATGTCACCTGACATACACTGTCTCAGGTATGTCACCAGCCAAACACTTTATCAGGTATGTCATCAGACAAACACTGTCTCAGGTATGTCACCAGACAAACACTGTCTCAGGTATGTCAACAGACAAACACTGTCTCAGGTAAGTGATCAGACAAACACTGTCTCAGGTACATCACCAGACAAACACTGTCTCAGGTATGTCATCAGACAAACACTGTCTTAGGTATGTCATCAGACAACCACTGTCTCAGGTATGTCATCAGACAAACACTGTCTCAGGTATGCCACCAGACAAACACTGTCTCAGGTACATCATGAGACAAACACTGTCTCAGGTATGTCATCAGACAAACCCTGTCTCAGACATATCACCAGACAAACACTGTCTGAGGTACATCATCAGACAAACACTGTCTCACGTATGTCACCAGACAAACACTGTCTCAGGTATGTCACCAGACAAACCCTGTCTGGGGTATGTCATCAAACAAACACTGTCTGAGGTACATCACCAGACAAACACTATCTCAGGTACATCATGAGACAAACACTGTCTCAGGTATGTCAGCCGACAAACCCTGTCTCAGACATATCACCAGACAAACACTGTCTGAGGTACATCATCAGACAAACACTGTCTCACGTATGTCACCAGACAAACACTGTCTCAGGTATGTCACCAAACACTGTCTCAGGTATGCCACCCGACATACACTGTCTCAGGTATGTCATCAGACAAACACTTTATCAGGTATGTCATCAGACAAACACTGTCTCAGGTATGCCACCAGACAAACACTGTCTGAGGTATGTCATGAGACAAACACTTTCTCAGGTATGTCATCAGACAAACACTGTCTCAGGTATGTCACCAGACAGACACTGTCTGGGGTATGCCACCTGACATACACTGTCTCAGGTATGTCACCAGACAAACACTGTCTCAGGTATGTCACCAGACAAACCCTGTCTGGGGTATGTCATCAGACAAACACTATCTCAGGTATGTCACCAGACAAACACTGTCTCAGGTATGTCACCAGACAAACACTGTCTCAGGTATGCCACCAGACAAATACTGTTTGAGGTATGTCATCAGACAAACACTTTCTCAGGTATGTCATCAGACAAACACTGTCTCAGGTATGTCACCAGACAAACATTGTCTCAGGTACATCATCAGACAAACACTGTCTGAGGTACATCACCAGACAAACACTGTCTGAGGTATATCACCAGACAAACACTGTCTCAGGTATGTCATTAGAGAAAAATTGTCTCAGGTACATCATCAGACAAACACTGTCTCAGGTATGTCATAGGACAAACATTGTCTCAGGTATGTCACCAGACAAACACTGTCTGAGGTACATCATCAGACAAACACTGTCTCAGGTATGTCACCAGCCAAACACTTTATCATGTATGTCACCAGACAAACACTGTCTCAGGTATGTCACCAGACAAACACTGTCTCAGGTATATCACCAGACAAACACTGTCTCAGGTAAGTGATCAGAGAAACACTGTCTCAGGTACATCACCAGACAAACACTGTCTCAGGTATGTCACCAGACAAACACTATCTCAGGTACATCATCAGACAAACACTGTCTCAGGTATGTCATCAGACAAACACTGTCTCAGGTATGTCACCCGACAAACCCTGTCTCAGACATATCACCAGACAAACACTGTCTGAGGTACATCATCAGACAAACACTGTCTCAGGTATGTCACCAGACAAACACTGTCTCAGGTATGTCACCAGACAAACCCTGTCTCAGGTATGCCACCAGACAAACACTGTCTCAGGTATGCCACCTGACAAACACTGTCTCAGGTATGTCATCAGACACACAGTGTCTCAAGTATGCCACCAGACAAACACTGTCTCAGGTATGTCATCAGACAAACACTGTCTCAGGTATGTCACCAGACAAACCCTGTCTCAGACATATCACCAGACAAACACTGTCTGAGGTACATCATCAGACAAACACTGTCTCACGTATGTCACCAGAGAAACACTGTCTCAGGTATGTCACCAGACAAACCCTGTCTGGGGTATGTCATCAGACAAACACTGTCTCAGGTAAGTGATCTGACAAACACTGTCTCAGGTACATCACCAGACAAACACTGTCTCAGGTATGTCACCAGACAAACACTGTCTCAGGTATGCCATCAGACAAACACTGTCTCAGGTACATCATCAGACAAACACTGTCTGGGGTATGTCATCAGACAAACACTATCTCAGGTACATCATGAGACAAACACTGTCTGAGGTACATCATCAGACAAACACTGTCTCAGGTATGTCACCAGACAAACACTGTCTCAGGTATGTCACCAGACAAACCCTGTCTCAGGTATGCCACCAGACAAACACTGTCTCAGGTATGCCACCTGACAAACACTGTCTCAGGTATGTCATCAGACACACACTGTCTCAAGTATGCCACCAGACAAACACTGTCTCAGGTATGTCATCAGACAAACATTGTCTCAGGTATGTCACCAGACAAACCCTGTCTCAGACATATCACCAGACAAACACTGTCTGAGGTACATCATCAGACAAACACTGTCTCACGTATGTCACCAGAGAAACACTGTCTCAGGTATGTCACCAGACAAACCCTGTCTGGGGTATGTCATCAGACAAACACTGTCTCAGGTACATCATTAGACAAACACTGTCTCAGGTATGTCATCAGACAAACACTGTCTCAGGTATGTCATCAGACAACCACTGTCTCAGGTACATCATCAGACAAACACTTACATACAACAGGAGACGGCAGTGTTTGCATACAACAGGAGACGGTAGTGTTTACATACAACAGGAGACGGTAGTGTTTACATACAACAGGAGACGGTAGTGTTTAGACACAGCAGGAGAATGTAGTGTTTAGACACAGCAGGAGAATGTGGTGTTTACACACCGGAAGAGTGGGTAGCGTTGAGAGCAGTGTATATCTGAACACAGAACAGAAGAGACTGTTTCAGGCAGGAACAGAAGGTAGAGTTTACACAGCATGTGATATGTGTTACTCAGGGAAGGAAAGGGTAGTATATACACACATCAGGAGATTGTAGTATTATATATATATATATATATATATATATATATATATATATATATATATATATATATATTTACACACACACAAAAATGAGGTAAATGTTCACTCGGTGTACATGTAATATATAATAAAATAATAAAGTCAACGTAAGTCCATCATCTTCTTTATATCAGTTTCAGACATAGTACTTTCGCTGTCCGGTCGTCCAAGGGTCACCACACCTCGACAAGATCGGCAGATTACCCGTCAAC